ACTCTTTCAGACCAACTAGCTAATTTGAAGTCACACGCACACACACACACACACTCGTGTGGCTTTAAGGTGGAGCTGGTTTGGTACAGTATCGCAGACAGAATGTGTCCAAAAGTAATTCTAGCAGAGCAATGTTCAAAAAATATTCAAAGGTTTCCAAATGACCCACCTACAACTTGTATATCATCAAATTCACATATGCCTGAAATGAGAAAACATAAAGATTTGCAGTCTAATTTCATTGATTGTTGCGACATAAATATGGGTGAATACTTACAAATAAAACCTTTGAGATTGATTAATAGTTCTACAAGTTGTGGTACATAGTGGCTTGCTCGATAAAAGAAAGTTTCAGAGAGTATAATCATGAATTATCCACGATACAACTTGGTCCTTTTTTTCAGCTCTCTGTTGATGGACAGCTAGGTCCTTTAACAACTAAAGGATAGTGATACAATTATGTCATACTCAAGAGTATTAGAAACATGAATAAGCCAATTATACCAACTCATATATCCATTCACATAACCTCCATTCAGCTAGACGCCGAGGTGCTACTTGGACAGCCAAGACTCAGCTTCAGAGAAGTAGTATAAATATAAAAGAAAGTTTTGCGCCCTGTTGGCTGCTGCAACATGTATATCTCTTGTCATCAAACACAGATGGCTTCAGGTTCAATAGGATCCCTGATAAGGGAAAAACATAGTTCCTGATGTTTGGATAAACAAATAAAAACTACAAAATTAGTTGAAGACAATATCAAATCCTTCAAAATACATTCTAAAACCACTTAATATTGGATGAGAAAAGTAGAATTGACTAATTACCAATGTAGGGACAGATGGCAAGGAAGGAAGCATAATCAATTTCAAGCCACGTAATTTTTTGGACTTGAAAAATAATAGTAGTTGATTTCCAAATATAATTGTCTTGGCTGGAGAAAATTAGAAGGCAAGAGAAAGACAGCGGTGGAGGGCTGTCATAGAGGGAGCCTCAAGCCCTTAGGTGGTCAAGTTAGCCACGGGAGTGTTTAACTAAATTGATAGATGAAATAGGAGAGAAATTCATACATACCTTTGGTCTGCTATGGCATATGTAGGTATTGGAAAAATAATGTGATTAAAGAAATTAAGATGTTGAGTGTGATAGTTAACAGTCACATACATTAAACAAAAAGTTTGTCAAATCTGTTTTAGAGCTTATTACAACAAAGTAAAACAAATTATTTAAAGAAACAATAAAAAGATTTAATTAAATGAAGTTCATCTACAACACTAAACAACAAATTACAACAGAGATGGCATTGCATTCATGTGAGTGTGATTTGTGAATCCCAGTTTTTGTCTTGCATTGGTATACATGTTGCTAAGTTGAAGAAATAGGTATGAGGTGGTAGATATGCAGCCTGCATCAACATGTATGGAGAAATCACTTAATTCTAAGGATGCAAATAATAGTCAGCAAAAGGAAAGAAAAAAAGAAAACATGTTCCTGAGAACATAAAAATATATACCTGATTGATATTGAATGGATGACTCAGGAAAGCTTGCTCGCTATGAATGAATAATTTAAAAAGGAATTAGCATCCAATTAAGGGAGATGGACATCTCATCAGAAGCAAATCAACAGATATATATACCTGAGCTGAGCTGGGCTGGGCATTAGAAATTGTCAAAAAAAATATACGGTTCGACAGAACCATATTTAATGTTTACCCAATGGCCATAATCGTCGCTGTGTGAGTAATCAAAAATGGTATTAGCGAGATAGACATCTTAAGAGCAAATCAATCAAGATTAGATTATTAAGCAAATCAACGGAGATTAACACTTGGATTCATTTAGAAACAAGAGATAGAAACATTTATTTATGAAATACCAGTGAGAGAGAAGGAATGGAATGCAAGTGATGGAAAAAAGGGAGAGTAATGAGACTTACCCAATATATTTGATGAAAGGTAGGAGGACATACTTATCGTCAGGATTCTCCCACTCCAACGATTCCCACCATTCTTTTGGATTTTGAATATGGATTCCTTTCATAGCAGCAAGAGATGGTTGCCCGTTTTCCCTTCCAAGACAGAGGGGAATCCTCTTGACCTTAGGGCAGTTGCTTATATAAATGGAATTGAGAGAATCACAAGCCATTACTTCTCCTTCGGGGTATATTCTCTTCAATTTTGGTAGGATTTGCAACCCCAATATCCTTAATTTTGGAAGAGGGATCAATATTGGAGTAGTTGTTTGATGTCCTACCTCTTCTTCTTCCCATCCTATTATTTCCTCCATCGACTCGCAATTGTGGACTATAATCTGCTCCAAGTTTTGGAGGCCTTGACCTTGCAGCAGCTCACATGGAAACAGCTTCTTCAATTTTGGACAATACCATACCATCAGGTGTTTAAGATTGGAAAAGATGTGAGGGGATATTGTCGGTGCAAGCAACACTGTTGTTTTTTCTACTTTCACAATGTCCTGCAAGCTAGGCAAAAACCAAAGACGTAGCTTTTTAAGGTTACTCATAGCTGTCAAGGAAGAAGATGAAGATGACGACGAGGAGACCACACACTCTATCCCTTTGCAGTCGCTCAATTCATATGTTTGCAATTGAGTCAAATTTCTCAGAAAAATAGAAATATCAGCGACCGTATTGCAGAGTCCCATCAACAAATTCCGAAGGTCATCTGGAAGCACCAACTCATCTTCATATCCTATCTTGCAGTAGGATAAAGCTACCTTTCTGAAACGAACATCATTGTTGAATTTCCCAAAATACCTCCCCTCCTCGTTTACGAGTTCATTATTCACTCCCACACCGAGCAAGTAATTATTGGGTCTTCCAAAATGGTTCAACTCGCTAACAAAACTGTTGAGGTCCTTCTGCTGATCAAATATACCTTCAAAACATTCCAGCTTTTTCAATCTTGCTACTTCTTCTGCTCTTATATCAGTTGAAAAAATCGGATATTTACGTAGGTATTGGAGGCGAAAGAGCTTACTGATTTTTCCTCTTGGTAGTACCTTCAGCTTTGGAGCAGATAAATCAAGATATTCTAGATTTTCTAACATTTCAATGCCTTCAGGAGCCACACAAAGGCCCGCTTCAGCCAAATCCAACTTCTTCAGTGCTTTAAGCTTTGACAAGGAAGGCATGCGTTCTAAACTCTGACATCCACGGAGAATCAGTGCTGTAAGATTTTTTAAGCTACAGATGGAATTAGGTAGAGCCTCAATGCCAGTATAAGAAAGATTAAGAAACTTCAGTAGGGGCATGTTTGCTAGAAAACACTCTGGAATTTGCTTCAATTTTATGTTATCATGCAAAATTAAGGTTGAGAGCATCAAGCATTTGGGGAACATATTTATAGGGATATCTGATATTTCACTGGCCATAAGGGAAACCTTGTCTAGATCTTCAGTCCATTCATCCTTCTCTAGTATCTCTGTCAAGCTCATTTCAGCTTTCACCATGAACTTACTTGGACCGGTGCTCTTAACACGCAATGCCATGTCCCTCACAACATCATGCATCTTAACACCTTCTTCATCTCCGACATCATCTTCCTCTAACAGACAATTGTTTTCAAGCCTATTTAAAATTTCATGTCCTCTATCATGCATTTCTCTTCTGCTCCCTAATTTCTCAACAAGTCCCTCACAAATCCAGTCTTCAATTAGATCTTTTTTTGGAATCACCCAATCTTCTGGATACAATGAGCAATATGAGAAACATTCTTGGATGCTTGAATTTGTTAGACGGTCATAACTGAACTTCAAACGTTTAAATATCCTGTCTTCTGAATCTCTCTCTGTACCTGCCACACAGTCACACAATTGACGTAATGCACTTCTCCACTCACGAATATCTGTTACGCCTCTCATGCTCCCAGCAATGACGACAATGGCCAATGGCAAACCAGCGCATTCTGCCACCATAGCCTTCAAAATATTTTCCAAATTAGGAATTAGTAGAATGTCGTGTCCAACCTTATCTAAAAACAAGTTCAAAGACTCTTGCTGTGGAAGAGGAGGCACCTTCACTATCTGACATCTCAAGTAGTTGCATACATCAATTGATCTACTAGTAATAACAATTTTGCACCCATTTTCTATTGTTGGTTCTGGTATTCCAACTCTGTGAAGAGTAAATTTATCCCACACATCATCTAAGATCAATGCATATTTCACTGTTTTCATAATGTCCTGCAATCTAGATGCCCGCTTCAATTCATCCCTGCCTTCCGGAAGACTTTTGTTCATTTCTCTAGCAATATTACCTTGTAATTTTACAACACTGAGTGACTGTGATACTGTGACCCAGATAATCTTTGTAAACCCAGTAGCCTCATTCAGTAATTCATTATGGATGTGTTTCATAACAGTGGTTTTGCCGACTCCACCAATTCCACAAACTCCAATCATTCCAACTTCATGACTCCTCAGGTATTCCCAAATTTTTTCCTTCACATCAACCTCGCCCACCATATTCTCGGTTGGCAAAGTGATTCCAATAGGCGGAGGCCTTTCAATTACAAGACTTTCAGGGAAACTACCTCGATCATAAATTTCCCTCACATCTTGAATCTTTTGACGGACACGTCTTCCAAGGTTACCACGTGACAAGTTTGAAACATTCTGCACCTCTTTTTCAATATCTGGCATTTCAATTTCAATGACCCTCCTTGCATCTTCGAGCCATCCCTGCACTTCTTCTTTAACTTGTTTTTCCGAGTCATCCACTATCAGCAGTTCTGCTACTTTGTCATTTCTTCTGCGTTTTAGATCTGCCACTCTTTTTCTAAGATCATTCACATCATTTTGGAAGTTTATATGACAATCTACAAATTCGCCTACACTTCCAAGAACTGGCCCAATAATGGACTCCATGTTGAAATTTTCTAAAAGAAAATAAAAAGGAATATTATTAAAATGTCCATTTAAGATGGTGTATACTTACAAAAACAAAAAAATATGTGTTAGTCCTCTAACGGAAAAAAGAGCAGTTAAATACATTTCAATTTAACAAGAGCCTATTAATCTATTACCATTTAACCCATTAAAATACAATTCAAATTAAATTTAGTGATATTAAAAAAAAAAAAAGGATAGCCAATAACTTATACAATGCGGCTTTTTCCATGGAAAGCAGTTACACTTAATTTATGCTAACATTTCTTCCTTCATAAATTTCATTTATGAGATTCTGAGAAGCAAAATATATCAAACTCGAATATCAAAAGAAAAATATTAAACTCTAAATTCTTTTACATGAAAAGATATAACAAACCTGGTCCCAACTCCGCGGGGCTTGAAAAATTGAATGATTAAAATGACAAAGAAAGAAGGCAGATCTGCTTAGCGCTTGCGTAGGGTACTTTGGTGCAAAAAGAACTGATATCAAATAAAGAGTAGAAAAATAAATATTGAGGAAATTAGAAAATTTCTTAATTTCATTTGTATCTATGCATCAAACAAATGGATGAGTGAAAATAGTAGAAAATAGAAATATGTATGTACTCACCTAGAAAATTAAGATCTTTAAGCTCAGAGAGAAGAAACAAAGGTTATGGAAGAAGAAAGGATTGAAAGATGGAGAAGAAGCAACTTTAGGAATGAAGAATGGATTTTCCGGAAATTGCTTGTGATCCTTAGTCGCAACACCCGAAAGAATGGTTTTCCTGTCTAGAAAATCCTTTGAGAAAGCAGGGAAATGATGTTAAAAAAAAAAAAACGCGAGAAGAACAGGGAAATGATGTAAAGTGGTTGAAAGGTAATAATGCAAGGGATTTTTGTTGGAGGAACTTAAATTTTTAATTTTAATTTTTCATTAAAAAT